GTGTGTTTATTATTTATTTATTTTTGTCAAGTTGTCCTTCAAGGATCTGAAAGCTGAGAGAACCGAGCCACTTAAATAGTTTCTTTCTCTGCCTGCTTAGAAAGACAGAGGCAAGCATGGGCACAACTGTACTGAAGCAAATACTCATCCATAAACTTATTCTAAAATGCAATTGGATGATCTTCTGTCTTTTTCTCGGTCCCATCTTCTAACCTTCCTCATCTTGAGAGTCCATCTCTATTATGTGTGGCTGTTCCAAATGCCCATGATTAATAACTGCTGTGATTCATTAGCCTGTGTTGTTGGCAATGTTTCCCCAATGGGAGCATTTGCTATCTAGGGATAGTCCATGATTGCTCTGCCTCATGAACAGTAAGATGCTTTCAATCTAATGTGCTGTCCCTGTTTTAGCATAAAATAATATTAAGGCATCCACATAATGGAACCGTCTGAAGATCCATTTTATTAAGCACTGGAAGAAAATGTGTGTGTGTTTGCATGTGCAAGGGAAGCATAATCAGCAAACCTATTTCCCCAGAAACGTTGTTTCCATGAGGGTTTCATGTAAAGACACAGTTCTTTTTAGGTGTAGTTCCTTGGCTGTAAGTATGAAAAAATACTCCATAGCCAATATCTTACCTGGTGCAATTAACTTACTCAAATTATACACAGCCTATTCGAAGAACGAAAAATGGGAAACAGAGGTAGGTTTATTGTACTTATTCCATTTTGTGGGTATTTCTTTTAAATGCAATCTACCTTCAAGTACAGAGCTGTACTGCTCTTAAAAGATTGCTGCTTCAAGTTGCTCCACATACCTTAACATAGCATGGACCCTTTTTACATTATACGATCAACTTTTTGACAGTGCAGGGCCAGCACAGCTAATGGAATAATAGCCTGCAGGGTCCAGCTAAATGATATACGAATATAATCAACCTTTATGATGACTATTCAAAAGTAATCCCTTTAGCTTTCAACTGCAACATATATTTCAACCAGGCAAAGCCATATGAAGAAAATCTCTGCAGACTCCACTGATACAATATGGCCTTCATATCCCCACAGTGTGTTTGCTGCTCACAGTGAGTTTTAAATTTAAGGTAATGGCTACTGTATATTCATGTGAGCATAGAACAATACCTTTGATTTGTTGGAGAAATGTTACATTAGCTACCAAGGGCCCTATTCAGTAAACTTTGACACAACCCTTATATATGGTTTACTGCTTATTCTAAATGGAATATGCCTGATAGAAATGGTTTGCATGCCCAAATTGTACAAATTCATTAATCTTTATATTAATAAAACCTCTAAGTACAACTGCCTCCATTCCAAGTGATCCAAGTCAGGAAACATGGTTAAACAGGTATGTCCAACATGCTTCTAAAAGGCATTGCATCACTTTTCAGTTATCAAGACAGAACTTGTAGGAAGATTGTCTTCAAGTATGGGATTAGCATGTTGTTGGCAGTCATATTAGTTTCTACTCTATCTCTATTCCTACACCATTACATCATTCTTCAGATTACATAACTCAAAGCAGTTGCGTGATCTTTAAAAATTCAGGTTAATTTAAAAATAACATAATGGGCTCTATCTCATCAGCTGCATATCACCAACATGGTAATACATTCAAAGTAGTCTTGCTTTCTCTCCCTTTTGTGACAAAAAAATGCAGTATTGGCTGATGGTGGATCTGAATACATGGAAGTAATTCTGTTAAAGGAAAAAAAGTGTCACGAAAATGCCACATTGCTTTATATTACTACTTCAGTATGTACACTATAGTCAGTCTCATCAGCAGGAGTTACGAATAGGGCCTTGTTTGTGTACGGGCACTTGAATCCATGTGAGAACATAACAGCATGTTACCTGTTACCATATCTCGTTTGAGATGATGTGTTGGAGGATTCTGCTTAAGCAGGTGAGCTGTAGTGGAGGAGTAGGAGAGCCTGTGGGCTTTCCCTCTATTTGTTTGCCATGGCACTCCTTGAGCCCACAGGAAACTGCTGCATCCTCAGCATCCTGCAGCAGGGGGTTCCAGTGATGAGGTGGCAGTGCACAATGAAGCCTTTGCTTTGTATCCAAGCCCACCACCTCCCACTTGCAGTAGACCCTACCTCATTTTTTTATTTTGAAAACACAGTGAAAAATGGTTTCTGGGTCACCTCGTGCTTGCTGCGCTCACTCTTACTTTTGTCATCTTTTCAAAAAATATTTTTTTTTTTTTTTCAAACTAGTTTCAGCTGAAACTATATACCTGAAACAATAATCCTCTTATTACTTCATCACCTCATGGAACTTTCAGTAGAATTCTTCTTTAATAAAGTCCAACAGTCTTTGAATAATGCAAATTTTGGATTTGAATGGATTCCTATTACATGGGCATGCAGTATCGGGTGTTGTCTGTTTCATTTTCTTTATAATCTTTTGAGAGAATGGTGCCTAAAATTCCTATCCTCTCTGGAGTTAGTTGTAGCTTCAGTCTTTGTGGGTGTGGCCTTCTTTCTTTTGTATGGCTTTTCACTAATCATATAATGTAAAGGAGTTGCAGCCTTGCATTGTTTTCTCCCAAAAACATCATGAAATAATGAGATTTTTAGAAGTGTAGCATTCTGTAGATAGACACACAGAATCAGAAGGAACAGAAATGCCAATTCTAGCTGCACTGAAAATCCGACCAGACAATTTTAATTCTGTTTTATCAACAGCAGTGGTAATCTGTCAGGGACATCCTATTATGATTAATTATATTTACATTCTAATAATACATATTAATGTTATCTCCACAATTTGCACAATAAGATGGAAGGAGAATGCTTGATGGTGTGATCTGTGGTGGTATATATGTATTATCATTATGAATATGAGATGCTTTTATTGTTTCCAAATAGCATAGGCCAAACAAATGCCAAGAAAACATTTATGGCTCAGTATTCCATCAGTTATCCTTGATATGCTTAATATGTGCTGGGAGGGCAGAGCTGTTAATCAGCCAATAATAGCTTGGTGCCCAAATGTGAAGGCAAAAGGCTGAAAGGTGCACAAGAAAAGCAATTTCTGCTGTAACTCCCCATCTGTCATGTGCACATCGCCACTCTCTCTTGCACGTGTGAGTGTCTGTAGCTGTCAGAGACACACTTTTCTGTGTGTTTGTCTGGAAACACAGATGTTGGTATACCCAGCCACATTTTGGGCTTGAGTCACCCACTTTGCGCCACTTTTCCACCAAAGTGCATCCACTGGAGAGAGCAGTAACACTGCACTGGTGTGAAGCTGGGGTGGGAGAGTGCAGTTCTGAGCCCTGTGAGCACTTCTGGACTGCCTGGGGCTCTGGGCTGCTTGCCACTGGCTGAGTTTCTAAACCAAACTGAGCTGTGCACGTTTTATTAGATTTGTTTCATTTAAGACTTGGTCTGCTAGGAAAGGAATTCCGATTCATTTACTTTAGGCCTGGTTTCAGAATGTGTCACCTGGAATAACTATATTGTTAAATACATTGTAAACCACTAACACACACACTGCCCTCATACAAAATGAGATTCCATATGGGAATGCTAATTCTCAGATATTCTTCACAGATTTACTTCTGTTCTTAATTGCATACAACTATGGATAAAGTCCTTGTTAGCAACTATACTTAATAAAAGCTTATGAATTGACAAAACATAAATTTTATTGAGTCATGAGTGGTCCAGTAGTTTTAATCTGTTCCAGGCATTGCACCAGCAAAGACACTGCCTCGAACATTATTTTTAACCCCCACCAGAACTGGATGATTTATTTTGGCCATGAGTTAAATTATGATGCCAAACAAACACTGTTGGTATAACTGTGACTGAAAGCTAAAGTTCAGTTTTAGGCATCACAATGCAAAGAGGTAGTGACAAACTGAGGAGGATACAGTTAAGAAAGCATGAATTCATTTCAAATATTGAAGAGACTGTGTTTGCTTAGCCTCCAAAAGAGAAAATTAGAGAAAGGAAAATAGTCTTTCAAGCTATAAGGAGTTATTCTGAAAGAGGGCTGTTCCATTGCTCTTTGTATGTGCAATAAGGAGTTATTCTGAAAGAGGGCTGTTCCATTGCTCTTTGTATGTGCAAAAGGTAGAACAAGAGAAAAATCAGTTTAATTTGCAATAAATATTTATCTTAAGTATTAGGGAAGTATTGGAGCAATAAGGCTGTGAAGCACTGAAACAGAGATTATGGATATTGTGAAACAGCCTTCATCAGAAGCCTTGGAGAATAGATGTCAAGGATGGACTAGATATATATGTGCACTTTCTTCATTTGAGAAGATGAAGCAGATCAGTGGTTCCCAAAATAAGGAACAATGCCCCAAGGATGTTGTAGGTGGAATGAGGCAGAGGGAGGTGTGGTGCTGTAGAGTCCCTGGAAACGGAGCAGAAAGTGCAGCCAGGAGGTGGGAGTTTGGTGTGGAAATTGAGTGAAGAAGGAATGAGACACCGTCACTGGAGCAAATGAACTCTGTGGCTGTCAAGAACTGCAGAGTCAAGCTATGGCCTCCCAGCCACCTGTTCCCTGATTACATTCCATGAGGAAGACCCCACTGAGCGGTCACAGCCTCCTCTTGCTTCCTGCACTGCTCAATTCCTCCACTGCATGGTGTTCTGCCTGCCATCTTTCAGTGCTGTCTTGGCCATCATCTTCTACCAAATGTATCTCCCTTGTTGGTTCCTCAGCTGGTCCCATCCAGACCTGTCCTGTTGGAGAACTGCTGCACAGGAGTGCAAGAAATGAGACCAGAAACCCCTGTCAGTGCTGTGTTTGTAGGATTATATCTTATGTGACTCACCTCTGTATCTTTCAGATTTCCTTTTCTTGTGACTTATTTCTGTAGGTCATATTTTTCAATTGAACCATTTAGGCCTTATAACCATTAAAATTTTTTTTATTTAAAAAAATTAATTGATTTTTTTTTTTTTTTTTTTTTTTTTTTTTTTTTTTTTTTTTTTTTTTTTTTTTTAATAACAGAACCTGGTAAAGAAACAAGTGCCTCAAAGCCTCTGTGAGCCTCTGTCCGAGACACCAGTTCAAGATCTTCCTGGTACAGTGTTTGCTCTTAATCCGCAGACTTTATGCCAATCTGCTGATTTTTACAAAATGTCATTGTCTGATTTTGACAGGCAATTACACATCATCTCTGTATTACTATGTCTAAATAATTATATTTTTCCTGCTCATAAATGAATGAATTCACACTTCCCTCCATTTTTTTACACATATTCCCAGTTTTAGAATGTAATTGCCTTTGATCGTCTAATTACTTTTAATTTACAGAAATAAGCCTTTGAAACAGAAACAAATCTGATTAATTAGATGCCAATCCCAAATATAAAACATGTAGATATCAATGTATATACATAAACTTCTGACATTTTTGTATTTTTCTATGTGCTGTTTTTTATTCTAGAGGATGCCTGTTTATTGACAGAGAAGCTGATGTATAATGAGTACAGAAAAATCCTTGAAGAGTGGTGCAGCAAAGTAGGAATTTCAGCAAAGGTTTTGTCATTAAAATTCTATTGTCAAAAAAACCATCTGTAATTTAAATAATTTTTTTAAAAAATACAAGAGTAGTAGAATAGAAACTTTTTACTTTGTGCCCCCATTTACTAATGTCTTCCAAAGTGTCAGGATCCTCCTGTTAAGATATTAAACATGAATGGGAATACAAGCCTTGTATGTCCAGGCTACAAATGTGTCTGGAGAGTTTTCTGTAAATCCCAGATTGTGGTCCCTTTCAGAAAAACTTATTCATGGAGCTACCAGTGATTTTAGCATGTGTGTATTGACTGGGGTTCAGCCTGCAGCTGAAACAGAATAGATCCAGCCTGGGTGGCAAACTATGGTGCAATTTTGATCCAGTCTGTATCACAGGTTGGACTCAAAACACAACCAGGTTTGTTTAAAATCCATCTGGATCCAATCCAGTGCCATGTGCTGTGGGATAACCCTGCCAGGAGGTGGGACCAGATGTGGTCCCTCCCAACCTGATCCATTCTGTGATTCTGCACTTCACACCATCAGGTAAACTAAAATTCTGCTTAGGTTCTTTCTGGTCAATAATCTGAAGCACTGATTCTGGAGTCTGTGTAAAAATTGTGTCCCATTTTGAGCTGATGAAACTCCTGACAGTGGGTTCCCCACATGACCCACTGACATCTATAGTCTTCACAGTCCTCAGAGGACTCAAGAGTCCTCAGAGCCTGCTGCTATCGGTGTTGGCATTAGGAAGAGTTAGAGGACAGAAGATGGAAATTATCACTTTGCAAAATACACATAAAAACAGACTTTTTAACCTTTGAATTTTATTTAGAAAAGTTGGTGATTCATAATTTCACATATTAAAAAAGCCCTTCTTTTAAACTAAACAAAGAAAGCTTTATCACTCCCAACAGCCAACCATTCCTTTCTCTTAATGGAGGTTTCCAGTCTCAGAGTTTGTAGCGAGGTCCATTAGACCTATAATCAAGTTTTATGATGGTGTTTGAGCAAGCATTAGCTTTTGCCATAGTAATAACTCAATTGACAGTTTTCTTCAGGATTGTAATCTGAGTATGTTGAGTGGTTGACATGTGACAATAGGGTTTCTCCCTGTTAAAGAATAGTAGAAATATATCATTAACCAGCTCTTATTAGACTATTTTTGATCCAAAATGCTGTAGACATGCAATTTAAATACAAATAGCTAAATAATTTTATTATTTTGTTTCTAGGTCTTTATTGTCTGAACACCATGCTTATTATAACAATGTTAATTTAGAAGGCTTTTGCAAGGCTGAAAAGTTGTATAGAAATATTCCCACATGCAGTCGTGCACACACATAGGCAACAAATCTCTTTGCTCAGTCTTAAAATGAGGTAAACATTTTATGGAAACCAGAAAGATAAACAGGACTACGAATTAAATATAAATATCTGTATTGTTTACCCCTTAAGTTTCCCCCTTATATTTTAATAGTATTGATTTGAAATAAAAAAAACATTCTAAAACCAGCACAATTTTTCAAATAATATCTTAAAATCCTGTTAATCTACAAGCTCTTCTAATCTTTGTAAGTATAGCATGACTGCTAATATTAGATATTTGGAATTTCTTTTATCAAAATATTGTCCAAAGAAATTACCTAATTGAATTTGGCCTTCACAGTAAGAATATAAGTATATAAAATAACGTAAATTGTGACAATATTCTAGAAAATACACCAATTTATCAAGGGCAAGTTTCTAAATTTTTAATGGCTTTTAATCCCATGTACATTTCTGTAGGAACTGAACATTCTGGTTTTGTGTCTCAAAAGTTGTTGTGTAGTTATGTTAAATAGCATCTGTGATTTTCACTGTTTTTTGCCAATCTGTACATGATAACTTTGATATGCTTGTGAAAAATGGTCATGAATTAATCCCCTAGAGCATTAACTCTCCCATACTTTTTGATACTTCATCATGCAGCTTTTAATAAAAATAAGTAGAAATTTATCATCCTATAGCAATGTAAGTATGAGTTCTGTTTTTGAAAGTCAGGAAGCTTTAGGAGCAAATTGTGTTTATTGTACTAAATATACCTGTCTCCCATCCCAGGAACAATTTGTCCAATGAGTAACTCTCAGTCTGGCAGAATGCAGGTGTTGTTCAGCCCCTTGCAGACCTTTTCAGTGGGAAAACAAAGGCTCTTCCCCCTTCAAATTAATGGGGCCAAGAGGTTAGGCAGGACGTTGTTCCCAACATCATTGTTTGGACAGGATCCTGGAATAAAGCTCTCAGCTGCTGGGAGCAGTCAGAGTTGCACAGGTCACAGCAGCCTGGTGAACACCTCACACACCCCAGCTGAAAGCACAGTGCTCACTGCACTTGGCTGAAGTATCCACCCAGTGCTGCTGCAGAAGAAAAGTCACCACTTTGAATTAGCAGTGCTCTACAGCATCACTTCCCTTTGCTGATCTCTCATCAGACACAGTCTTGCTCGTAAGATCTGTGGAGATCAGAGCTCACATTGGAATAATGTTTTTTGTCTCCTTCCATGAAAGGTGTTTTAATTCCTATAAGAAACTCCTCTTATGGAACACAGTTATTCTCCACCTTCACTCCTTTATCCTTCCTCCAAGTTTTCCCAGAAAGCGCCTGATTCCCTGACCCTTAATTTGCAATCAGGGAGGAGGACTCATGAGACAGTATGGATTGCAGTTTACAACTTTTCCTGTGCTCTCAGAAATCACAGGCAGAGTTGACTTTAGTTAGGAAAGCAAGCAGATCAATTTAGCCTGTAATGCCAGTCCATTTCAAACCAGAGACTTGTCAAACATATTATAGCAGATATCTGAATAGCTCTGAAATGTTATGTCTCTAAAATCTACATTTTGTGGGTACCTAGGATATGCTAGTCTGGCAATTAAGGTTGCTTTTTGAGTAGGGCTTTAATAGGTTTCACTGTGGATGTATCCAATGGTACTGACTAACACTTTGTAGCAGAGAGGAAGGTTTTACCTCAGAAAGAATTGTGTTTATAATTTTGAAAACCATGTTTTCTGATCATTAATAGGGTGTATCTTGTTAATTATGATGATGTATAAGGTATTTCACCTGTGATGCCATTTAGAAAATTAATGTTTGAGTCATAGAAAGGTCATTGCCATTCTGGAAGGAATCCATTCATCTCTAAATAGGCCATCCGAATATAGACTAAGAAATACCCTATATATAATTACCTGGAAATAGATGGAATAAATAAGATTGATGATAGGTATTACTAAAGCCACATGTTAGTTTCCTGTTAGGAAAAAGTAGATTGCAACTAAAAGAAGCAATAATATACATGTAAAAAATGAAGAAATATGTTAAAATCTTGAGTATTTCTGCAAGGTTCAGCTATTACTTATGAGGTGAGAATTCAGCCCTCAGAAGTGGTGTGCATCAAGGACTTTGTCCTGAGATTCAGGCAGGTATTTCTGAAGACAGCTCTTACAAAGAAGATAATGAAGACTTTTTTCTTTTTTTTTTTTTTTTTTTAACAAACCTGTGTCTTTTTTGACATCATAACTTTGTAATACCTTCATAATTTGCCACACAGATGCTTACAAGTAGATGGAATGTGTGTGCTGTCTTTGAAGATAAACATGTTAATGGGTTAGAGGGCTCCAAGAGTGAGCCCTCTTTTGACTCCACAGGCCTGGAGTCCCTGGGAGCTGGGGGGGACAAGTCTCAAGTAGTCCCAGCAACTTGGTCTCAAATAGTCTGCAACTTGGTCTCCTGCAGCATGAGAGACATGGGACAGAAAACCTGTTCACAGTAGATTTTCTGTAGCCATGGATGAGCCAGAGGCTGGGAACTTGAGCATCCTAAGAGGAGTGTCTGGGAGTGGCAGTAGCTCCTGACTCCGACTCAGCTCTAAACCCAGCTAGGATTGAGATCTCCTACGGACCAGATGGACAGATGAGAGGTAGCCCTTGTCTCTGGGAGGCAGCTTTTGTGACTGGCACATCCAGCCCCTCCTTTGGGACATACTTATCCATACACAGAGGTAAATCAGCTTTGAAAGGCTGCTGCCTCCTGCACTGAGCTGTTCTATCCTGGCAACATTGCTCCTGGTCTTCCTGGACTCTCAGGATGGGACTCTCGTTGTCCCATCTGGTCACAAGTTCACAGTTTACAATTGTAGTGACTTAAATCTGGACTTAACCATAGCAATGCCTTTAAAAACATCTTCAAAGAGCCCTCCCTGAAGCCCAGTGGTCACTGCTGTTCTTTGCAGTTTGCTTTCGTAAGGGCTGTCTGCCTCCGAGCTCCTCAGTGCCACTTGGCTGAGGAAATTAGACACTCTCTTTCCACACAAGTACCAGGAGAAAAATATTCCTTGGCACTGATAGCTGCTTGCAGTACAGATAATAAACCAAAATTTATTTAGGATAAAGGAAGTTCAGGATTACCTGCTTTCCCCCTCCTGGTTGCTTCTCTCTCACAGCAACCCCTTTAATCTCAGAGGAGCCCTGTGATATTAGAGTACTTTGATTAATTAGGCCTTTGCTTTTACTTTACCTCTACAAACCTCTGTTCTTGGAGGACAACATCACTGACACATTTAGGCTCTGCACTGCTTTTGGCAGAAACAAGAAACCTGCTTGAAACTGCATTTCTACACACACATACCAGGCCACCTTGGAGCAGGTGATGTTTAATCAGTATCCCTAGGTGGGGTCACTCATATAAGTCATATTCTAGGGTTTTTATCTCCTTCTTCCTGACTAGAAAATTCAGGATAGTGGAACCTGCCTAGAAAATAACTTTATGAAACTATCTATGCCACAAAACTTCTTAGTCTATACAGAGTAAATAAAAAAACCAAGCTGTAAAGGTGAGGAATGTAAAAGATTAAAAAAACTAAACTAATATATTTGCAAGAAGTATGCTTGCCTTAGTCACCCTCT